TAGCTTCTGTGAACATAGTTGTGTGTGTGTGTGTGTGTGTGTGTGTGTGTCAGGGAAGGTACTGGTGGATTAAGCCACCACTAGCTTTCATAGCAGTAGTGTCATTTGGGATAATGACTTCATCCGGAAAAAGTCGCCGCCGCGTGGCCACTGATGTTTTTCATTGGTGGCCATCACCCTCTGAAAGAAGTGGGGCCCACCCTGCAGCCGCCATACGAGAACGATAGTGGCGGTTTAAAGTGCCAGTACACGGCCCCAGCCTTGTAGAAAAGCAACTCGTCCCCCCCCGGACTGTGCTGTGTTAACCGGCGCGGATTTATTTTTCAAGCAGGGAAAGGCACTGGTGGATTAAACCACCACTAGCTTTCATAGCAGTAGTGTCATTTGGGAAAATTACTTCATCCGGAAAAAGTCGCCCGCCTCGTGGCCGCTGATGGTTTTCATCGGCGGCCACCACCCTCTGAAATGAGCGGGGCCCACCCTGCGGCCACCATATGAGAACGGTAGTGGCAGTTTAAAGCGCCAGTACACGGCCCCAGCCTTGTAGAAAAGCAACTCGTCCCCACCACACCGTAGCAATGGCTTGGCCTACCGGACCACAATGGCTGGCTACGCCAGCCAAAGAAGGAAAAAAGGTGTGCTGCGGGCAGTTCGGGAAAGCTTGGTGCGCAGTAAGCCGCCTTCGGGCCCTGGTGTACCCGTGGTGTATGTTTTGAACTGCCAGTACCCTGCCCGGCTATGTTTTTTTCCCCCTCCAGCTAGCTCGGAGGTCGCCTGCAGGGTTGGTGCAGCCTTGTGGCTGGGCTCGATTTTGTAACACAAGAAGGGAGGTCACTGGTTCAAAGTTACAAGCACTTTTTTTTTTGTCAGTGTTTTGTGTTTTGTCAGTGTCGTTGAACTATACTGTGGAAAAAAAACACAGCGAGACAACTACTCTGCCCTGGAATACCGTGCACCTGGTCCTGACTCAACAGGATTGGAAAGATACTTGTATACATTCATAATGTATTCGCAAGTAGTACTGGTCTCTGCACTTATTGTGGCTGACATCTCTTCCGCCAGTCACACAGTACTAGTAAATCTGAGGCAAGCTGTCATTGAGGGAAATATGGGACGTGTTCCACTACATGACCTTCTGCTCGTATCCGGAACCGTTGTCGACCAATTGCTTTTGGACTGTTCGAACATGTTGAATGTATCAGGGATGGGTATACTTAAACCACCAGTACCTTTCCCAGCCAATTTTTGGGATCGTACTACTGGAGCCAAATGGCTGGAGCTGCCGGCCAGAAGAAGCCCCGCACTGGTTCTCTTTTTTTTTTTTTGCTCGCATGGGGGGTCGGAAAAATCTCGGTCAAAGGTACTGGTGGTTTAAAATGCTGCAGTGGATCGAGGCCGATATGTTAGAGAAGGCTATGGTGGCTGACGTTCCAGCGGGCAGTCATGCAGTACGTGTGAAGGGGAAGCGACAGGAGCTGAAAGTAATGACTACTACAAACAGCACGTGTAAAATCCACCCTAGTCTTGTTCATTTTTTACTTTGTTTTTTTTGTCATGGACTGAGTGGCAGCTCTATTTCCTCTGCCCATCCTTCAAAAAGTCATTTGCCTCAGAAATAGAGGTGCAAAGCATGTAAAAGACTGGAGTTAGTTTCAATGGGGGGGTGGGCAGAGTAGATGGAGCTTGGGAAACAAATGGCAATGAGAGTCAGTGGGATACAGGGAGAGACTCCGAGAGAGCTATAATTATGAATCTTATGCTTCAGGATGCCTGGCCCGATTTCCAGCAGGTGCCATTGCTTCAATCCTGGGATGCTGGACCCAGTTTCCAGCAGGGGCTGCCCCCCCCCAATAGACCAGACCAATGCAGCTAGCACTCGGCCTCATTTCCGGCAGGTCCTGAACCTCCAGAACGATAGTGGCCTTGCCTTGTGATGTTTCAAAGTTAAAAAATGACAAAGAAAAGTGACTGCCCCATTCCGGCTTGGACGCTGGGCGCGAACATGTTCAGCAGCGACCCTTAACGTATGGTTTACCGGCTAATCAGACTGTCGTCAAATCTTAGAAAATGTTTCACGGACAAGAAAACTTGCTCGAAAACCAAAAAAATATTTTGAACGCTGGAAGGCTCTGCTGGCTAGTGAAACTCCTGTTCGCTGTCACAATGCCTGATAGTGCTCCAGCGCAGTTGTGGTTGAAACCATGGGTGCATCCAAAGCAAGAAAATTATTTTGAAGGCCGGAAGGCTGTGCTGGCTAGTGAGACCCCTGTGCGCTGGCACAATGCCTGATAGTGCTCCAACGCAGTTGCGGTTGACACCTTGGGTGTCTCCAAGCCTTGTGCTCCTGATGGGACTTTCGTGGTGCGCCAAGTCTGTCAAGCGGCATTGCTGGTTCTTTCTTGGAATTTTCCATTCACAGAAGTAAGAATTAAAAATGACCGTGGATTAATGTAGAGTAGATTGTGACGTGTGAGGACGAAATTACGAAATAAAAGCAAATTTTTTTACGCACAAAAAATAATTGGGCCAAACTGAATGCATATGCCGAGCAGAGTGGCTTTGCCTAGCAGGCCTGGTGATTCAGGTGGGCAGGGCAGGGTTAGCAAGCGATCCACACATTACGTTTCCCAGCCATCTTGTTCCAATGCAGGGGCTTGACTGGTGCAAAATCACGGATGTGGCCTAAAGTAAGGAGAAGGCCAGGGATGGCTGGCAATACTGCATAAATCTGAAGCAGAAAGGGAAGTCTCGGATGGTGGTCATGTTTAGTTCTTACTCCATGAGCGGAAAATTCCCAGGAATAACCAGCAATGTAGGATAGGTTGTGATGTATCAGGAAGAAATTACAAAAAAAAAAAAAAAAACGTTTTCGTCCACAGAAAATTGTTGGGCCAAAGTGAATGCATATGTCGAGCAGAGTCGATGTGGCCTAGTAGGCCTGACGCTGGCGGTTGGGCAGGGCAGGGTTAGTAGTTTTAACAGGTTTGATGTAATGGGCTCTGCGGTACTGGTGGTTCATGTCTACTCTCATGGATTGACAGCAGAATGTGAATATTGGAATTGTGGCCCTCAGACATGCAGAGTTGCTCAGGGATTGAAGTGTTCTCCCACGAAGAGTGGAGAGCTTCAATTGTGAATTGCCTATGGCTGTTTGGCCGCACAGACTGGATAATCAGGACATTATGGAGGAGTCTTTGGTACAAAATTTTATGTGCATTCCCCTGCATGAAGCACCCTTACCAGACAAGAGGGAGAGAGATGATGGTCAAAGGTCCACGAGTGGGGGGCCCAGCATTGCTGCACGTACCCGCTGGTTAACCTGGTGCTGTGTATAGGCTATGCCTACTGGTGATTGGTGGCCGTAGGGAGGGGCCATGAGATTTCGAGTATCCGGACGTTGTCTATTGTTGCTCTCATCTTCTTCAACAAATTAAAAATGAAACAATTCATTGCCATAGATTACATGCCGCCGAATTAGCGAAAAGTATTCGAAAAAGAAGAAAGTTGTTTTACCCATCAGAAACATCATGGCGCAAATGCGATCATATGGCTGCCACCACGTAGCCAACGCCTACAAACAGTTGTCTATCCCAGGGACAGGCAAAATCCAGCATCAGCAAAATGATGCTCAGGGCCCCTGGCGCCTTGGCAAAAATCTGCCCCTGAAGCTAACCATCGCAGAAAATCAGACCCATCAGGATGAGGGGCATGCAGTGGATGTTACTATATGCTGCACTCCCAGTATATTTATGGGGGAGGACAGAAAAGACATGCAGTAAAAAGCCCGGACAACGACAATGGAAATCATGGCGGCGGCGATCTCATGAAAGTGGATCCTGATCAGTCAGGAAGGAAAGGAGAAGATGGAGAGCATCCCGCAGAAGTAGGACAAGTGTCTTAAACCGCTAGTACATGACCCAGGCAAGCTTCAGAACCGAAATCAAGCCTTTCTAAAAGTTTTGGAGGCTTGGGGCCACCGGACCAAATTTGCTGGCTGCTCCAGCCACAAGGAAAAACAAACACGCAGAACTGGCTTTTTGGCAAAGCTCGGCGCGCAGGGGGAATCTGCCTCATCAAAAAGAGGCTCGGATGTGCTGGTGGTTTCAGCGGTGGCTATTCAACGGGAAAATTGTATTGATCAAGAGTGAAATGAGCACAATGTGGTATACAAACTAAAAGGGAAAACCCTGTCCACGTGATAAGAAAGTGGGTGATAGGCACACTGGAGTGATCCATGTCTTCCGCATCAATGCTATGGAGATGGTGGCAATGCACCATGCCATCTGGGCCAGCGGGAGGACACCCACGCCTTTACTGTGCGGTATCCCCACCCAACGATGATGCTGGGAACACCTTGAGGCCAACTGGGCCAGAAGGGATCCAGGTTAGGGAGGGCCTGCGGAGGGACCAGGCTTCGTTTGAAGTGATTTATAGCCAACGTCCCAGGGTGAATTAATTGTCAGGGTAACTCCAAAGGTCTATCTGAAATTTCCAGGGATGGAGTGTGCAGGTCTTGTAAGCTGTGCATTGGAATATGTATAGGAGGAGCTTAGGTCAATACTGTTTTCGTATATCTTTGGAGCGAAAGGCCATGGATCTCTCAGCCTTAATGGAGAGACGCGTGGGGGAGAGTTCAATGTTGGAGCAGTGACCATTTGGCTTGCCTGAGGAGAGAAATTGAATTTGTAGGCATAACAATGGTATCTTACCTGAACCTGAACCGAAACCTGGAAGGCTGCTGAATGTTGTGCGTTAGTTCTCCGGTTACAAGAGTATCAATGGGAGGAGGGCAATGTCTTGGGGAAATTTGGTGGCTTTCCTTCAGTAAAACTGTTGGTTGGGAATGGATGAGCAGGAGAGGGGAGTGAACAAGGTTGTGAAACATGAAGCGAGTTGCAGAATGACAACACTTGTTGGACAAAATGGCGGTCCATTCTGACTTTCGGATAATGCTGGAATGCGTTGAATGTTGCGGGCAAATGGGTTTCTTTGGGGGTTAGGTACCTCGACGAACCAGCATCAGGATATATTGGAGGGTTCTGTCAAGATGACCTCAATCAACTGTTCCAGGCCATGCAGCAGAACTTCTTTGCCTGGGTGTCTGGCTTTGCACCCTTGGCTATTGATGGAGATGTGGAATCAGAGGCTGTGCAAGAGTTCAGCCGAACCCTTTTCAGTATGCGACCAGATATTGCCCTTGCCACAGCCAAGGCCATATTCCAGTCTGACTGCCGGTCCGTCCTGCCACTTGTCACCTGCCCTGTGCACCTCCTCCACTCAACCAAGGACTATGCCGTACCAGGTTATGTAGGACATTACATGCAAGCAAAACTATACAATTCTGCATCGCTTCATATGGAATTCATGCCGACCTATGGCCACTTACCGCACATCAAGATGCCAGGAGTTGTGAATCCATACTTGTTGCGGCATATCTGGATGAAGTATGATGAAGAAAAGGGCCAGGAAGTGCAGGGACGGGTGCCACATAGGCAGTTCGGGGCAGATGATGTGGCTGCAGATCACCACTAGGGTGTTCACCCCGGAAAAAAACTAGCAGTACTGCACCGTTGTTGCCAGATTAGTACTATTGTCGGGGCAACAATTTTTTGTCTGCATGATGGTGGTATGTCATCCAAGGAGTCTTGCTTCTTGGAAGCCATACTTGTGGTGAAAATAGTAGTATAACTCCCGTCCACCCTATTTCAGCAATCAAGCCTATCAATCAGCCACCCGGCTACCGATAAGGTGTTTACTACCAGAAATTACACTGGTTCAGGCGTTGAGCAGTCTGCCACAGGGATGGTGCTGTGTATAAGCTGGTGGCCTATGTGATACTGGATCACAAGATTCACAAGACACAGATAAGCTGTTGGAATAACTGGTGACTGAGGTGGTTGTGAGACTCTACGTCAGGCAGTGCTCTGTGTGATGAGGGCAGTCATCGGGATGTCAGAGAATACTGCAGTTCCCTACGTTCTGGAAGCAGTTTCAGTCTTCTGGGAATTCAAAATCATGAAATTTTCTCTTATCGGTTGGGATTTTATCTTGCATATGTAACATCAGCAGGTTTGTTGCTGTCTCCGTCTCGCATGAAACGTTCCAGTCCATCAGCAGGTTTGTTGCTGTCTTACCCATGTATTTATTCCAACTCTCAAGTCCGAGCGTCAAGGAAGGTTGGCAGATGGGTTAGAACGTTCCATGTGACTCCCAACAGACGAAGGACGGTTGTACGTCGCTATCCGTGGGATAGTGGATGTACGTAACGTGGCAGTGTGCATTCCATATTACCTGAGTGGACCTCCAAGGTCTGCAGCCTTTCCTTATCGGTTGGAGGAACGTGCAGCTCAGCATCTGCCTAGCTGTTTTATCCATAACGAATTCTGCATTTTTGAAGTTATGGTCTGTAGCCTACCACAGAGCTCACCACAAGGGGCTGCAGTGGTGAAAGAAGAGCTGGGTGAGAAGTTTGCTTAGGGGAGGAACTGCGCAGTACGACAAAGGGAGAGCGACAGGACAAAGGGAGTGCGACAGGGCCTGGCTGACGTGGCTAAGATTTGCATCACTATGTCATGTCGTCGGCAGGCTGAGGAATACTGCAGTCCGATCTATTTATGGATGCTGGCTTTCTTCTCAGATGGATGGACATTATGTTCAAATAACTGAAATGGTTTGCACAGGCTACAACACTGATTGTTGATGACAGGAGGTTAGTTGTGGCCCTGATTTTGGGGCGAGACTGGTCTGATGATGGCGACAATGCCGGCGTGTTTGTCTTTTTTGGTTAGCCATCACGGTCTACATAGATGTTTGTGAGGCCAAGTTCGAAAACAAATCGGGAGAACCAGTTTTGATGTGGGGCCGAAGCAAATAATATCTAGGATTGTACAGAATGCACACTAAAAAAAGGAGGTACAGACATGCAGTAAAAAGCTGAAAGTCATCGTCTCATCTTCTTTTCTTGTCCTCACACCTTGTTGTCCTGTCCTTGTTGTGCTTCTGCCATTCTCTCCTTGAACAATCAAGGTACATTCAAAACTCTCTCTTGTCTACGGAGAGGTGGCTGTGGTGAATTGAAGTGTTGGCACAAGTGTGCCTTTTTGTATGCCTAGAATTTGAATTATTGAGTCCCGACAACTGAAGTATCCACTTTGAACTATGGACTCCCACTTCATGTTCGTTTGTGGTGTTTGGTTCGGTTGCGGAACACCCTCCCAGGGCTTGGCAGACTGCCTGAAATAGGCATAGGCAGGCATGATCGGTCACGGTAAGCACCAGCTGTCCACAAAACGTATAGAGTGTAATGCAGTGTTGCACACCCTGACCGTCGGCGACCCTTGACTGGTCGGCTGCCACCCGCCGACCGGTCGGCTGGTCGGCACCTACCGGTCGGGGGTCGGCGGCACCCCGCAAAAAGAAAAAAAAAATTAATAATAATATATTCGCACGTGAGAGGCACAGTGGAGGTGGAGTTCAAAGAAGAATGAGAAATTTAATGGTTTCAATCTGCCCTTGTTTTTTCTTTTTGTTTTTATTTTTATTTTTATTTTTGCATGTTATCACTGTGCCCGTTTTTTGCTTTTATTCTTTGTTCCGCAAAGTGCGCTCTTTTAGTTTGTAGTGATGTGACAATATATATGCTCTAGTGCCACGGCGTGTCTGGAGTGTATTTTTTGGCTGTGACAGACCTTCCTTTGTTTCGTGGGTGTTTTGCTTGCTTGTGAGGGGGTGTGAACCGACAGGCTGTAGAGTTTTCCATCTGGTGTGGGTGAGTGATAGTCTGCTTTGACTTTTGCCACAGGTACCCTGAGGGCAGTGGTTGTTGCCCACCTCAGGGTATCAGTTGTCGGGCAGTCGTTGATGCTTAACCACAACCGGGGTTAAGGTGGATTATCACTTACAGTGTAATCAGTTAGGGGATTCTGCAGACTGTTTAAGGGTTCAGCCTCCTGATGAGTCGGTGAAACTCCGACGAAACAGTTTGCCAAAGCCCCTCGTTTGTTGTCCTCTTCTCCCTCTCTGCCTACGGTTTACCGGGCAGCTCTGGGTCCAGAAGGACCAGAACCCCTAATAACCCCACGAACACCCCCATACCCACCCCAAAT